AAGAATCGCTACAAGAACATCCTTCCCTGTGAGGGCCAAGGCAGGGCCAACTTGGGGGCAGAGCTGCGAAGTCACGTGGGGGAAGGGGTTTATAAATGGGGATGCAGGGAGTGCATCTGCCTCTGGGCCCTTCCTCCCCATGTCTGCTCTCTGGGCTTCCCATCTCCCAGGGAGACCTGAGCAGCATCTCCCCTTCCCAGTTGATACCACTCGTGTTGTCCTGCATGACGTAGACCACGGCACGCCTGGAGCAGACTACATCAATGCCAATTACATCAGGGTGGGTGTGCACCTCTGGCCCTGTTAAGGCTCCTGCTGGCAAGTCCAGGAGGATCAAGGGCAGTGTGGGTCCTGGTAGGGCAGTAGACATTCAAGGGAGGGGGTAGGTGGCAATCTCCAAGACTTCCTCAGGGTGGGCTGGACTGAACATTGGTCCTAAGCACCCCCCTAGCCTAGAATGTGAGGAACTGTGTTTGAGCCACCTGGGGCTCAAATATTTGCATAGACATACCTCTGTCCTCCAGTTTAATTCCTGGAAACAGCAGGTGACACCCCTCCTCCTTTCAGAGTGACCCAGAAGAGAAGCCAGGCCATGGACTGGGCAAGGTGTACATCGCCACACAGGGCTGCCTGCAGACCACGGTGGCTGCCTTCTGGGCTATGGTGCACCAGGAGAACACTTGTGTCATTGTCATGACCACCAAGGAGGTGGAAAGAGGCCGGGTAGGAGCACTGTCTTGCTTCTCCAGCTGGTCAAGAAAATGACCCTTCCTTGCTCAGCCAAGGAGCCTGTGGGACACGGGCGGCGGGGGTGGGGGGTACATAGAGTCCCTGTGAATATAGGTGTAGGTGCATACAGGGCATAGGGGCAAGGGTGCTGGTGTTCTACCAACAAGGCTGATGGAAGGCATTCCCTCCCAGAACAAGTGTTTCCGGTACTGGCCCGAGCTGTACAGCAGCCAAGAGTACGGCCAGGTGCACGTGAGCAACATAGCTGAGCACCAGGCCCAGGGCTACTGCGTGCGGGAGCTGCAGGTGTGGCGGCCAGACCAGGTAAGCCTGGAAGGCAGTGGACACACAAGTTGTGGGTTCATGCTAGGATGAGGAGGCCCTGAGCTGAGAGACCACCCCCCTCGGTCTGGCTTCCATGTCCCTCAACCCACAGGGCATAGTGCAGGCTTGGGCTCTGGTCAGTGCTGACTCTGAGCCAGGCTCTGACTCCCAGCTGCAGGGTTAGGGTTATACCCACACTTGCCCCACCCCTCTCCCTGGCCATCTCAGCAGTTTTGGTCTCCTCTGCATGCCAGGAGTGCCTATTTCTGTCCCTGGCAGATTCCTTTCCTCTCCCTCAGCCTTGTATCTAACCCATTGTGGGATTTCTGCAGGCCCACCCAAATCCCGCGCATTGGACTCTTCCCAAATAGAACTCACAACCTTCCTTTACTTCTCCCCTTCTGTTGCCTCTATCCTTTTTCAAGCATCAGAGCCACCTGGGGCCATCTTGGTCCCCTTTTCAGTCCGGTGTTTCCTCCTCCCTGTCCTGGCTGGCCTTGGCCCACCCCCAGTCCCTACACCTGGTAGCCCCTTCCTGCAAACCCAGCCATCCCACAGCATGCCTCCTCCCGACTCCCCTCAGCACCCACCCAGAGAACACAATAGCGCCCGCTTTGACCCTACGCGGGCCCCACCAGGGAACTGCCCAGACGGGCTAGAGCTCACGCTCACCGCCCCGCCCTGCCCAGGTGGAACCGCCGCGCACCGTAAAGCACTACCAGTACTTCAGCTGGCCGGACCATGGGGTTCCGGCCGAGCACGCCGGCGTCCTCGGCTTCCTCGACGACTGGACGAGGTAAACCGGACCCAGAGCAGCGTCCCAGGGGCAGGGCCCATGGTGGTTCACTGCAGGTGAGACGGGGGACGGGGCTGCGTGGGCATTGCCGACGGGGGACAGGAGCGGGGCTACGCAGGGCGGTGCAGGCCGAGGCTGGGCCTCTGGGCAGGGCCAACGGGTGAAAGTGGGGCCAGGGCATCGCCCGGTGAACTCGTCACTGGCCGCCTCGTTCCTCCTCACAGCGCTGGCATCGGACGCACCGGTACCATCATCGTGATCGACATCCTGGTGGACGTCATACGCAAGCAGGGTAGGCCGCCCCTCCCCGCTGCCGACCGGGTCTCCGCCCACAGTGCTGGTCCTGCTCCTCATGCTTCCTGAAGGACCCCTTCCTGAAGGACCCTCCCCTCTATGGTGGCGCTGTCCTCGCCCTGAGTGCGCTTGTCCCCAGGGCTAAACTGCGACATCGACATCCCCAAAACAATCCAGATGGTGAGGCGGCAGCGCTCGGGAATGGTACAGACTGAGGCTCAGTACAAGTTCGTGTACTTGGCGCTGCAGCGGTACATCCAGAGCGAGCAGCTGCGCCTGCGCGAGCAGGTGGGGACAGGGCAGGGGCTGGACGGGCGGGGTCGGGGTGAGTATCACCGTGGTGACAGGCGTCCCCTCCCCTTAGCGCGAGCCTCCCGAAGAGCGCGAGTATCTGAACGTGGGCCCTGCACCTGCCAACCCCAGCAGCAGCCCCAGACTCCAGCAGTCCCGGCCTGCGGCGTGAGTCCGGGCCTTGGGGAATGGGACCTGGCTGGTGTATTCGTCCAGGACCAGAAGGCCACAAGTGTGGCTAGGTGAGGGGAGGGGGTTGTGTGTGGTGGGAGGCCGAACATCATCTCCTCTCAGAACCCAGGAGATCTCTGGCGGCGTGTACGAGAACCTGCTGACCCTCCGGCGGTGAGGAGCCCCGAGGTGCGTGGGGCCTCGCGGCCCTGCAGGCGACCCCCAACCCACCATCCTGTCTGTGCCCTGGCTGGAGTCGGGCGCTTTGATAGGGCTGGTCCTCGTGTTCCTCGAAGGAACTGTGTTTAGAACAATACAGAGTGGAGCATGCCCCCAGGCACTCAGGAAAGTGGTTCTGCAGTCTGCCCCTAACTGCCTAGGCACCCAGAAATGGGCAGTGGCAGTTGAGAGATCCCTCTGGCGGCAGGCTGTGACTTGTCGTGTGAAAGATCACATTCTGTCCCTCAGTGTGCGTCCCTATGTGTGATAAGCGTGACCAAGAACATAGCAATGAGCAACATAGTGCTGTCTGCCTGACCTGACTACAGCCACTGAGATCTGTGCCCAGCCACCATGTCCTGCTTTCTGCCCTTCACATCAGGGTGGTCTGGGAGGTGACCCAGGCCATGACTGCCCCATGGCGGTCACATGGTGAACAAATGCTTGTTGAATGAAGTGTGACATGCTCGGGTGCAGCCTCACAGGCCTGGCTCTGCTGGCACCAAGGGTGTGGCTTCACGTGTTCATGACAGTGTATGACTGGGTGCAGTGTCACTGGCCTGTGGTCTTTGGTAGCAAACCACACCCCCATCGTGGAATGGCCCGTGGTTTTATTGTGTCTTCAGTAAAATGTGTTCTCAGTTCTGTGTCTTTGTTGGTGCCTGGGGCAAGGGTACATGAGGGTCCCCACAGCTGGACCCAGCTTTTCCAGGGTCTCTCTGAGCCCTTTCCCGTGCAGGCAGAGGCCCCGTTGGATGCAGCAGGAAGAACTTGGGCTTTGTGGTCAGGGAGAAGGAGGCTGAGACCTGTCTGTACTGGAACCAGCTTGGGCTGTCTTGGCCATTCTGTCTGGTGGTGTAGGATTCCTGGGGCTGATGGCAGAGCCAGGGTTGGGTGGGGCTGGCAGGATTGTGACGCTGCACCTTGCTGCTTTACCAACCAGGCCGGCCCAGGGAGACCAGAGGGTCCCTTGTCTGTGGACCCTCAAGCCACTCACTGGTCATCACTACCTCCATTTCTGTGGACCCTTAGGCCCTGGTTCTGAGGTCATGGGTTCTGTAGTTTTCCAGGGCTCCCAGGGACCTTTTGGCCATGACTTTTTGGGGTGTGGTCCAGTATGGCTACAGTGAGGGCTGGGGAAGGGAAGGACCTTTTTAAAGCCCTGGGCTCTGGAGCAGGCTGAAGCCCACTCTTGGTCCTGCCTGTTAGCTTCTGGGGCTCTCCCCTTATTTCTGGAGGAGCTCCTCAGCCGCTGAGAGTGGGGAGATTCTCTGGATTGAGGCTAGAGCAGGGATAGGCCATGGGCCTTTCTGGAGGAAGGGGCTGAATTGTTAAAGGGGGCAGGGCACACATGGTGAGGACCTCTTACCAAATCTCGATACAAAATAATTTATTTAAAAATGTACAGTTCATAAGGGCATGGGGCAGCCAGGACATTTCTACAAGTATTGCAGCAGAGCCTCTGTTCTCCAGGCCCTGGCCAGAGGCAAGATTAGCACTCCCATCCAGTGGAAGGAGCCAGACCTGCTGAGAAGAGGACCTGGGGTGAAATGTTAAAATGAAAGGAAGATGGCGAACCCCCACCCCTCTTGGCAAGCGCCTGCCTTTGCAGACAATTCACATTGTGTACAGGGAAAAGGGAGGTGGCCTTGCCGGACTGGGGATTTTTCTTCATCTACACGTTGGGAATTAGGGAGAATCTCGGGTACCCATTGAAGCCTGTGGTTCTTAGAGGCTTTAGGGACCTTTTTGTCCCTACGCCAGTACCTAGCTCCAGAGAATGAGGGACAGGCAATGGAATACAGGTCTCAATGGGGCCCCGATGGGCTCCTCAAAGATGTAAGGGCCCCAGGAGACTGACTTCCAGAGCGGCTGTGATCCTGATCTCAGCCATTAGTCAGGGGCCCATCCATGCTGCTGGGGTCGGGTGGCCACCCTGGACCACAGGGCTAGGGCCAGTGACCCTAGTCATTGCTCAGAGGGTCGAGGGAGAAGGTAGTGGCAGTAGCAGTGATGGTGGCCGTGGACGGTCGGGGGAGGCAGCGCAGGTTCCCGGTCTTGAGTGCACACTGCACAGGCCAGAGCACCACACAGAAGAGAACCAGCAGCAGGACTGAGACCAGGGCCATGCGCCTCCAGTCCCCACAGCGTGCCCAGCAGCGTGCCAGGCGGCCTTGATGTTGGGCGGGGCCCGGGGCTGGCTCAGGCACAGCAGGCTCAGTGGGCTCAGGGGGCTTGCTCAGGCCCACGTCCACACACACAAAGCCAGGCACTGAGTGGCCAGGTGTGGTGGGCAGTGGGCGGCAGCACAGCTTGGTCCCCTCCAGCCACACAGTCTCCTCCTGCCGGAGGGGTGCAGGCATCTTAGCTTGCAGCTGGCGGGCGG